TTCTTGATATTAAGTTAAGTTTTCACTGAATATGTATTTGATGCGCAATATGAATGAGTCTTCCGGGTCTTCAATAAAAGTAGTCGACTTGTATAACCTTCTATAAAATGAAGTTTTCCCAACTTTGGGGTTATAAATGCTGGCTGTAATATCCAACAAGACTAAGGAAATTTTTAAGGGAACTGAACATTGTCATATGTATAACTAGAAAAAGTCCAGATAATTTTATTATATCATCAAGTAAATCACAGTTGGTATCAAAATCTGATTAGCTATGGAAATATCACTAGCTTTTCAAGCGTATCAAGAAAAATGTATGAAAATTTTATAAAACGTATTCTTCAAAGACAGTTTTTTAGCCCAGTTTGTATTGTCTTGTGATACAAAATGAAAGTCGCATTCTTTCTGTTCTTTACTTTTGCCGTTGCAGCTGCTCTGAAGGCCTGCCCACCGAATCATATACAAGTATTTATAGATTGTATTCCAAGGCGAACAAGACCACATACAACCAAACGATTTGCAGCAAGACGGGCTACTTTTAAAGCTCAATCACATGATGAATTTTATAAATTATTCAAAACTTAAATTTGATACAAACATAAATAAAGCAATGAGACTCTGTTACTGACAAACACAAATGAATTTCGATTATTATAGCTAAACAAAAATAACTAAGCTTTCGCGTAATATTGTTATCAAGCGTAATTAATCTTGAAATAAACTTAAGATTATTATTTAAATATAATAAACAGGACCTGCACTTTCCTCGCAATTTTCAAAAAGTTAGGTATGTATTCATATAAGTTACATACTTGCAACTATACATTTTTCCCTCGCTCATTCGCTTGGTAGAGATCAAAAGGCACTGATCGATTCATACTTGCTAAAAATGAAAAATTTAAAATAAAATATATGTACAAAAAAAGCTTCAATTGATAGGTCGATTTTAAACTTTCTTATCTTTACCGATGTTTGTTTTTTGACGATGTTTCGATTTAAATCTCTAGATTCTTTAAAAAACATAGGTATTCCGAACATTCAACAATATCATCAGTGGAAACAGCAGAAACTCTTAAAGCATATAAAAATATGTCTCATCTTTCGATTAAAAAATAACCAACTTACTTTTGAGCTTAAGATATAGTAAAATAAGAAAAGAGTGCGAACTTTACAACTACTTGCATATATATACATATACATATATGTTTCTTTACATTCAATCAATATTCCAATATTTCTATTTTGATGCACTGTAGCATCAAATTTTCCTTGACTTTTCTCTTATGCGATGTAGCAAAATGGTTTTGGTTTATTTTCCACATATTCACTCGGTTCGAGCTTTAAATAATAAACTTAAGTCGTGCGAGTGCAAAAAGCTTAAGCTTATTTTGCTAACCCAAATCGGCAACTTTCACTTGACTTTTAAGTGCAAGCCCCAACAGCAGTCAGCCTCCCCCTTACTCACTCTCTCTCTGCCCCGCCCCCTAACAAGCAAATGCAAAATCTAATGCACCTTTAAATGGCTGAATATGATGAGAGGATCTGTGCTGGGCGGGGGTGGGCTGGTAATGCGGGATCCAGCACTCAGGCATGCCAACAGACCCCCAAGCCTTGTTGTGGGCTGTAGCTGTAGCTGATAAGCTGCTGCTATCAACGCCTTACGCCCAACCCCCGCACCGCACTTGGTACACATCGAGCAGCGCAGCATCCGCTTCCGTTGCGCTGCAGCGTCAGCTTAGTATCCTGTTTTGCCAGATTTACAGCTGAAACTCCTTGAAATACCAGCTGCACATGTGTGTGTGTGTGTGGGGGGGGGGGGTGAGTGGGCGTGGGTGAGTGTGTGAGCGTGGGTGTGGGTGTGTATGTTTATCTGTGGCGTTGCCGGAAAGTGAAACGTTTATGAAAACGTCCGACAAGCCGTGCCACAGTCCTGCGATGTACACAAACACACACAGCCCCCCCTCCCCGCCATACACACATATCCCTTGAGTAATGACCTTCTTTGGTTTCAGCTATGCTAAATTTCATATTAACTTTCATCGGTTAATTTCGCAAACTGAACAATGCTTCAAGAATTTAATATTCTACCGCTTCAAATGACCAACTGGACGTAGGCAAAGTGTGAAGCCCGTTCTTGGCCGCCTCAGCCGCCAGTTCTGACACCCTGGCTCTGGCTCTGACTCTGGTTTTGGCCCTTGTTCCAAGATAAACAATAAAGTCTTGACCCAGTTCCTTGTTACTCGCTTGCCTTGCCCTTTGTCATCATCATCGTCAGCAGCAACAGCAGCAGCAGCAGCTTTGACATGGACAAGACACGGAGCAAAAAAATAACTCAAGAAAAACTGATAAAAGTAGAATAATTGACTGGCAGATATCCTGTAAAGACTTATATACAACATCAAGCAGATTTTAAGCTCCATCTTACGACAAATTCCTTATGTTTATACAAACAAAATTCTATGCATCTCGCTTTTATAATGCCTGAGTTCAATGAAAGGAGACATCGGAGAAAATACCAGGATACAGTTGCTACATACCAAAAATGATGTCTCTAGCTGTTATAAAATACTTGACCTAAAAGAGAGGAGAAATCCCAATATTTTAAATATACTTGATCTTTGTATAAAACAGATTCAAATTATTATGTCTGTGGCTCTTAAAATCCCTGAGCTCAATGGGAGAGTAAAAGCGAAGAAAATGCCAAAATTATTAATATACTTGATGTAGAGTACAGATCCGACATACCATGTCTCCAGCTAATATGATTCCTGAGCTTACTGGGAGAAGAAAAACGGAGGACATTCCAAAATATTATATACACTTGTCCAATGTATAGCAGAGACCCCCAATACCTTAGTTTATGTCTGTGGTTCTTACGATTACATAGTGTAGTAAAAATCCGGCATGCCAAATATTATGTCTCTAACTTTCATAATACTCGAGTTCAATAGGAGGAGAAAATCGTATAAAGTCCTTTAAATATTTAACAGAAATTATGCCTCGATCTCATATAAAAGTCGACTTTAATTAAAGGAGAAAACTGGAGAAAAGTAAAAATTTTAAATATATGTGAACTTCATATGGCATAGATCCCACATACCAAATATAATGTCCAGAGATCCGTGGGTACAAATGATAGCATGCAGTAAAAATATCAGCTGAAATATTTTTGCTAATCAAGAGTATTATAAAAAACCATTAAAGGCTCTTATGAGCTCGATTTAAATATTTGCCCCGCTTTAAGATATACTCTAATACGGTTTGCTGTATATAGGGTATAGGGAAAACGAAAATTCTTAAGAGTTGGGTGAAAAATCCGCCAACTTTACATGCAGAAATGTGCGCTAACCCAAAAATTGAGACAGCTTTGCCCCCGCCACACTCTCTCACACACACACACACACACACACATAACCCAATATATTTGACTATATTTCGTTTTTTATTTTTCCATTTTGGTGCTGTACTGGGGTCTGTGCATGGAATATGTGGGGGTGGCATGGCAAAAGTGCAGTCAGACAGCCATTGGATCATTTGTCTTGGCATTGTTGCCTTTTACAGATTTCTTTTTCCTGCAGCTTTTTATTGCCGCTGTTGCTGCTGCTGCTGCTGCTGCCGCTGCTGTTGTTGCATGAAAGTTTCGGCAACGTAATGCTGCAATGGGGCTTATGGGTTTAGGCAGCTTATATGACAGTCAAGTTGGCAAAATCAAAAGCCAAAGCAAAGCAAAAATGAAAGCACGCAAATAGTACTTGCCAGTTTAGTAAGTTTTAAAGTTAGTTAAGCAACGGCATTGGAATAAATAGACAAAAGCATTTGAGTGAGTCAATAGGTATTAGAAATCGTTTAAAATGGGATGCGAAAGAGAATAAAAACAAAAGGAATTGCATTTTTTAGGGTATATGAAAAAGATTATCATTAACAACATAAATATAAAAAAAATAAAGAAAAATTATCTTAATATCAATTATATAATTATATCAATTATATATAAAAGCACTGATAAAAATATATAAAAAAAAATCAAAAAAATATTATTTATCTTTTCATAAAAAATATTAAGACTACCTTATAAATTTTAGTCAGACTTATAAAAAGATTATTAAAAAGCCCTGAACAAATCATAAAATCTTTATTTCCATTAAACTTTCTCTGCCCATAATAGAATCTTTTAAATTAATAATAAATAATATTAATAATAAATAAATATGAATATTATATTATATTATATTCAGTACAGATAATTTAAATTATAAACACTTTACGGTCAAATATAGTTAAAGAACTAGAAGTTTTGTGAGGGACAATAGAAATATAAAATCATTATAGCAAATAAATTTAACTTATGCTTTGTTTATACCTAACATATTATAGCCAAAATCGCTGGCCGATTCTAGGCACACAATTAAATAGCAACAAATATTAATAAAAATTAAAATAAACGAAGTAGAAAAGAATATATTACATCAAAATAGTTTAATTTTTAATTTTAATAAATTAAACACCGGACCAGCTAATAAAATATACATTGTTTTTTTTTATTTATTTTTTGAAATTTATTATCATTATTGTTTTGCTAAGAACTGGACAGAAATTTGGTATTAACATACTAAGAAGGGTATATATATATATTATTTTAATAATATAATCCGAATTTTAGTTTAGTGATATATAATTTTATTTATTGAAATAATGTTGAAAATAATAGTAATATTATAATTATTTTATAGAAAAAGCGCGTTAATATATATATATATATATATATAACTTAGAGGTAAAGGGTATTACGCAAACTTAAAAATGCAACGAAAACAAAAATCACGCAGGGCACAAAAAAACTTTAAAAGAAATTTCACCAAAAATTACACTCTCAAATACACACACACGCAACGAAAAAAAAGGAAAGTTAACAGAATCACGGACCTGACTCTGACTCTGACGCTGGCTGAATGTTCGCAGCAAATGAAGGTGTCAAAATGACAGGCAGACACCAGCAAAAAAAAAGGAAAAGGGGGAAAAGACGGAAAAGGAAAATGCCTCGCACACACACACACACACACTCGAATGGACGCCTGCCTTGCTGGACGTGCTGTGGATGGATGGATAGCTGTGCTGCAGTTGATAGGATGGGAGCCGGGCCCCGGACTGTCTGTCTGTCTGGCTAACTGTATAAACGCCAAAACGACAGCAGCATTTGCTAACTTGCACCATCAACAAAAGAAAAAAAACAACAACAACAACAGTAAAAAAAACAATAGCAAACACTCGTGCTGCAACAACAGAGACTACATAATTGTATCTGTATCTATGTATCTATAAGCTGGCCCCGTGCATTGTATTGCAGATACGTGCTCGATGGTCCAGCAAAATGGCGGAATAAAAAGAGAATGAATGAGAAAACCAAAGCCAGGGCTAAAAATGATTTTTTTTTGCATGTGGCAAGACGAATGACAAATGCTCTCACGTTAGTATTTAAGAGTTATATTTTTAATTTTGTTAATATGATAATAATAATGATAAAGTTGAGAGTGTAATAAATAATTGTTTAAATTAAGCTTACAAATATCCTGAGCTTATTTCAATGACCTTTCAGCTCTAAGCAGGCATTAACAGCTCTTGTAATAACATAAATGTTTTTCATGTTAAAGAAAATGTAAATGTTGCTCATGTTACGTAAAAATTAACAGTGTGAGTTATCAGAATAGCGAACTGTATGTAGCGAATTATAAATAATATTTTAGATGAAAGTTTTCAGATAAAGCGTATATATTTCGTAAAAATCCGAACAATTTTATACAATATATAATCTAGTATAGAATATTCAAGTTAAAATCTATAAAGAAAATGTAAATGTTGCCTATGTTAAGTAAAAGTTAACAGTGCAACGTTAACAGAATATATAACAGAATGAAGCGAATTCTAAATGATATTTCAGTTGTATTATACTTTTTCAGATATTCATCGCTATTGATCTTAAAACTCTCTAACAACATATAATCCATGGTATATTTTATTCAGGCCCTATTTATGTAGTTTAAATGCACTCTATAAATCTTAACAGGCTATAACAGTTAGACTAAAAATATGTGGCTGGAGCTCAATAAATTATTTACCTTAGTTACTTACATTTTTTTGGTAAAAATAACCTCAACAGCTCATCAATCTTTTTGTTAGCCACCCCATAATATAGGGTATATACACAAAGAATGACAACAACAACAACAAAAGAAAACGCTTAAAGACTTTGGCGATGGCCAACTACTGACATGATGGCCAAATGCCAAAGAGGATTTAAGTTGTAGCGAAACTTTAAATGAGTTCAAGTTTGTAGATTTAGATGCCACGCCTCCCCCCACCCCCCTCCTTTGATGGGTGTGTGCTGATGAAGCGTAATGATGATGACTTTGTTAGATTGATTGATGTGCAGACAGAGAGATTGAGCAGGGGGCGGAGCAAAATGACTATTTACAATTTGCACTTAAAAATTGAAAAGACGCCCACAAAAATTTCCCAAAAAAAAAAGAAACAAGAATTGCACATTGCTCATACGTCGCGTTAGCGGCGCTTTATAAATTTAGAATAAACGCATCTGACGCTGCAGATGACCAATTAAATTTTCGTTGAGAAATATTCATATTTCTGTACTTTTTTAATGTCACTCATGAATCGGAAATGCCGTCAAGGTTTGCAGTTCAAGAAAAAATATTGTATTGCCATAGAACTTGGTATTGCCAGTCGCAATGGATCAGTGGACGGGCGTACATCGGGCGTTTATAATACGCGCCTATTATAGAAATAACGATTCCATAAGCACAGCACAGCGAATGTTCAAGAAACAGTTTAGCATTTATCAGATACCGCCCACAAATGTAATCAAATCCTGGCTGCGGCATTTCGAATGCACGGGCTCCTCGCAAGCAGGCGGCTCGATAGCGCGTTCCTCCTCCATTCCTGTAAGATCAAAACATAGATCGGACATAGATCGGAAAATAATAATTTTGTATTTACAGCAAATCTTCTGCACCATTTGCAATCAGTGCTTGAGCAATGAGAAGAATTTCAGCAGCTCAATCAAATAATAATCAGATTCAACTATTTTGTATTAATTCATCAAATTTGTCTAGTATTATATTCTATGAAATTCCTTTTACTCTAGTCTTATGCTTTGGTCATTTTATATAATAAATTGACGTATTTTTTGCTAATTAACAAGTTTGTTGAACATTTTAAATCAACACTTTTGAGTGCCAGCTTTCTGAGCATATCAAACGCTCGACATTTGTCTCTTTGAGGGGGGGTTCTCGCACATTTGTTTGTCATGCTTGGCAAAATGTCTTCGATACGGTTGCTTGCCATCAAAATTGTAAGAAAAGCCAAATTCTTTTGTCGAAATTGTAAGTGACTGAAAACGAAATATTTGCATAAACATGCGTTTTACTTGATTGTTATCATAGGACTACAAAATAAGAGATCTACTTGCACTACTTAAATAGCACAGATATAATTATTTATATAAATTTATATTGCAATACAATCGCATGAGCTGAACTGTACATATATTGTGTTCAAATGCTGCCAGTTAAACAATTACGAATGCGACAAAATGACAAGGCGGCAATTAAATCCCACTTTCAATAGCCGGTTCCTCTTTATTTCGAGTTCGTTAACGTTTTGCTTAAAGTGGTGTAAAATATGCTTTCCTGAATTTCCTCTTCAGAACTATTAATTTCTCTATCCTCTTTGCACCGTATTCGTAAACATTTTTAGATGCATTCAAGAACTTACAGTTGCTTTTGTTTCGTGTTCTTAAATGTTTTGCTTAATGCGGTATAAAATATGCTTTATAGTATTTCCTCTTTGGAAATTAATCAATTTCTCTTTTTTCCTTTGTTAAATCTTACAATATTTTTTTTTAAAACGTATTTGCAAAACAACTCAAAATGTTGAGAGCCTGAAACCCAGTGTTCAAATTTCCTCAAATCAAACTTTATATATGCCTGAACTTCATAAAATTCCGAAAAGCTCTGTTTTAAATAGATTTTGGTAAGTCTGTAAACGCAACGCAATCCATATAATTTAACTCATTCCCGCTGCAGAAAACCTTTTCAAATTTTTTATAGAATAAATAAATTAAGATGTTACCATGGTATCGCCTGCGACCGAAACACTGGTTCTACTTTCTATGCAATGATCCCATTGCCGGAGAGTTCATGAAGTGTAGCATGATCTTCATCTGTAGCGTGCTGCTGCTGAGGCGTTTGGGGCGTAGTTTTCCCGCCCTGACGCAACGTATTGAAAAGTTGTTTAGTTCCTAAGCGAGAGTTCTATGCGAAATGGCATGATTTGGTTTATATGTTACGAAATTCGTTTAGGTTTATTAAAATCAACTTTGTAGAATATTAATAATTGTTTCTATGGAATTGCTTAAAAGCGGCAAGTCAATTCTGTAACTCTGGAATCGAGAGAGCTGCCGACTAGGCATTGGCATTTCTCATTTCTGAGGATTATGATAAAGAAGACGTTTCCGACTCTATAATGTATATAAAAGTATATATATTAGAAGGAGATATCTTGGAACCAAAGAAATAATTCATAGGGAGAGACATCTTCGACTCTATCATGTATATATATTAAAAGGAGATATCTTAGACCAAAACGATTTTCGGCTGCATAGTATATATATATAAGAAAAAGGTATCTTTAATCAAGTATTTGTATTCTTGATCAGTATTAACATGGTCTGTCTGTCTGTTTCAATGCAAACACGTCCCTTAGCTTTATAGTTAATGTCATTAGACCTTGCATCTATTTGTATATTTGTTGCAGGCTGTACATATATGGGCGGCGGCCTCCTGATCGAACTACTATATTATTTAGCTAACTTAGAAATAATTGATCAGAGTCCTTTCTTTCCTGAAAACCCGGATTTTATTAGTTTCACTGTGCTCCTTATATACAAGCCATATCTTTTAAACATCTGACTACTATATCATATCAATTTCTAGCAAGAATTGTTCGCAAAATCTGATTTTTTTTTGGAAAATTGTTCTGTTTTTCAAGATATCTTCACCAAAACCCTGCAATTACGAGCTTCACAATGCTACTCACATATCTGCTCCAGCCGTGTGTCATATGCCTGCAAGAGTATTTCATTTTCGACGTGTTCTTTCTTTTTACGTTTAAATTTAGATTTAGTTCCGTTTTCCGAGGCATTTCTTTTATGTTTAACCCAGTTTCTTAGCTTCCTTTGGCCAAACTCTGTTTAGTTAAGCTAACCAAAGCAATCGAAAATCCACAAGAGCTTATATATCAAAGCATTTCTACTTATGGCATTTGCCTGGCTCACAAGCCCCCCAATTACTTCAGCTATTCTCCGGCATGGGCAGCTGTCAGTTTGAAGTCAAGCAAATCCCAATATTAACTTTTGCCATCAACAGATACTTCACATATCATGTTTTTGCTTCTACTTCCCCCACTCTCTTGGCATCTTTTAAAATGTGTCCACTTCAAGGCGATGTCATCAAGTTGTCAGCTTGTCATATCAAATGAGAGATATATAAGGATATACAACTATATAGCTGAGTAGGTATTTTCATTTTGGGGGAGGGGAGAAGCTGCCGAGCCTAACGTTTATTAACGGTTAAGTATGATGCTTACAGATTACAATCGGAAAATGCGCATAAGGTTTTACGATACAGCCGCAGGCGGCATTAGTTTGAGTTATATGCGCGAGGCATATAAAATTAGGTGCCCTCCCGCCCGCTACCCCACATGAAACATATAATAAAAAAAATAAAAAATCCCCTGAGAGAGAGGAAGGATGCCGGAAAGCAACGTCAACGGCAGAGGCAACGGTTCTGGTATCATAATTTCGAAATGACAGGTAATTTGGGGCAACAACAGGAGCAACAGCATTGGTTGGGGGCGGCGTGGCAGGAAGACAAGAAATGAAGTGCGAGCGCCAAATGGGAAAATGATGCGAGTTTATTAAGTACCGTTACTCAAAATGTACCCAAAATCCTCACAAGAATTTATGATGCGCAATTTCCCCCGCCAAGAAGAAAACTGAAGAAAATTAAACGCGAAAAAAAGCAAAACCTAACAAATTTATATTGCAAATACATGAAGTGCTCAAGTCTTTAGTGGGCGCGAGGGCGTGTGAGATTGTGGGCGTTTCGTCTAGCTCTAAATGATTTAAGCACACGAACATGCAACTAATGAGTGCAGGTTCTGGCAGGGAAAACCAGCCCCAAAGCTGCTCCACACCTGCCCCTGTCCATTTCAATCAGGACACTAGCCTGCCATAAACTCAGCTCAGGTGTGCGTTCAAAGCTTTAAATTTCAATTGAAATTTACAGCTCAGCTACGTGTAGCTGGGAAAAATACCAAAAAACAAACAATTGCTTGTGGTTCAAATGTCCTGGGAGATTTTATGGCAAAAACGTGGCGTGGACAAGTTTAGTTCGCATTAAAACTGAAACTGAGATGTCATTTATTTAAGGCACAACTATGATATATGACGGCAAACAGAGGCTTTCAGCTGACTAAAGATGATATTTCGAAAACTTTAAATCAAGAGTGGAGAAATGCAGCTGTAATTATGTGAAAAGAAACTCGTCTTATTCTAAGGTAGGTTAAAGTATCAAGAACTAAATAAATACGTGTTCCAGCGTTTTTGAAAATTACAACTTCTTACAATTTATTAATATAATTTATAAAGTATGCAAAATTAATAAGAATAGCCCGTGCTTTTATACTTTGCTTCTTTTCTGCCTTATTAATAAACCTTTTTTTTAACAATTGGAGTTTTTCAAACATATGAATAATTATTATAAATTATCCTTGATATACTAAGGTATGTTTTGTTTTAAAAAATATGGAAACATTTGATCACCTTTGATAAAAGCCAAGAGTTTTTAATGTTTATTAAAAACTATAATCTGGCAGATATGATGCGTGTATCATTTGAATCAGGCCCTACCCATTCCCCCTCTAATAGGCGGATAACTCTCTTGAGCGGACTAAATTTCCCTTCTGTACTATCTAGTTAATCAAAATTTTATTTGATGTAATTTCCCTCTCGTTTTCTTGTGCATTTCGCTTTCTTAGGGCCCACTTTTGCTTTCAATTGCACTTCAAAGTTTTGTCTAGTTGAGTTTTGCTTGGGCTTAAACATATATATAATATTTAAACCCTGCTAACCCTGCCACATAAATCATTATGAGAATTATTTTGTTCTCTCTGTTTAACGATGTGCTGTTCAAAATGTTCGCTATTGATGCGAAAATATTTATTGTAACATATCTTTTCATAATGTGGGATTATCTAGGCGCATGTCTTGCCAGGATTTATGTGTGTTAAGAATCAAATACACACACACAAACACACACACACATGCCAAACATTAAAAGGAAGAACAGGAAGTGGCAGCTTTAAGCTCTTAGGAAATTGAATTCTTAAGCTTTATTGTTTTACTGGCCTGTGCTCCCCCCTCCCCCTTCCATCTCTTACAGCTGCCTCCCCTGAAGCAGGCCCAAAAAGCAGCGCATGCAAAGCAAGGACCTCCTGGGCAAGGACAACGAAGTGTATAAAACTGCAGCAAAAGCAATTTTCATAAATATTTAATGGATAACGGCGCAAAATAAGCAGAGGCCCAAACAACAGAGAAACAGGACTCGCCAGACATTACATATATGTACATACATATATATATATAGATACAATTGTACTGACATTGTCAGTGGATGTATTGTAATGTATCGCATAGATATGTATATTATCTGCACATATGCCGCATATATGGCAAATATATAAGTACTCTGTTTCCTACACTCAGAAAAGCAAAACGCAGCCAGAAATTAGAGTATTTTTGTAGAAAAAATAGCTGAAACATTTTTCTAAAAATGAAGAAAAGCTTTTTTAAATGAAGAAAAACTTTTAAATCACCAGAGTTTTCTTTCTAAAGAGCACTTAATTTATGCAAATATATAATATATTAATTATATAAAAAAATATTTTAAAAATATTTATAAAATATTAAAAAGATATTTTTCTTAAAAATGTTTATTTGAAAAATATTTTTCTCTTAATAGTAAATATTAAAAAACTATTTTTATAAATATTAAAAGGATATTTGTTGTTTGAAAGTTAATATACAGAAATATTTTTCTGTTAAAGTATATACTAAAAAAAATGTTATCTTTAAAAGAGATTTAAAAAATATATTTTCTCTTAAAAGCAAATATTACAAAAGGTATTTTTAATACAAAGAACATTTTTTTGAAAAGTTGAGAGTAGATATTTTACTAAACGTAGAAAATTATTGCCCAAAATGTAAAATATTTGTTTAAGAGTTACAATTTGTGGTATTTTTTTCTTAAAATGAGACAACTTTGATTAGTTTCCTATCAATTTAGGAACATTGTTTTTTCTACGTGTATAGTATGCAGTATATATAAATCTCGGCTTTTGGTTGGTATCATTAAACGGGATTTCGCGGCGCCTGTGCGCAAGCTGGCCAAAGTCCTTCAAGAGAAGGCCATTACAGGCGGCAAAAATCATAACAATAAAAGCGAGACAGGCGGCCAGAGGTGGGTGGTGGGCGGAAAGTGGGGGTAGCTGCTCTTACTTAATCGATGATGATGAATAATTGATTCGTGCGAAGCGCCCAAGCATGGAAATGAAAATGTCGGTTGCCTGGTAGATTGCTGCCGTCTACTTGCCCCCAACCCCGCTCCCTGCGCGCGTGTATATGTGTGTGTGTGTGTGTGTAACGAGTGGCAAATTTCAGGAAACGGAAATGGCAATTGCAGGCAACGCAAATGTGAAGTTGTGCGCTAAATGAAATGCCAACACGGCAAGAAACACGGAAATAGCAATGTGGACAGCAAAGTTACAACAACAGAGCCAAAGAAGGGCGGTAACAGATAGTGTTGGAGGGGGGAAGAGAGCGAGAGCGGGGGGAAACTGCAAAAAAAAAAGAAGGAAGACGAGTGCCAAGTTACACAATTCGCTGGTATTTAAATTTGATTCTCAGTTCTCTATTTGAATGGGTTTGAAAAGTGGGCGGAGTGAAGCAGCGTAAAAGTAAATGCAGCGAAAGTTTCTTCGATCAAGTTTAGGGGAACCGTTGCAAAACTATTGCAAAATAGTTAAGCTAAGTACTTTTAGCCATTATTACAAAACGATATCGTGGCATACAACTAAATTCAATTTTTAATTAAAAAATGGAAATTTAAATTAAAATGCGAAGTTAAGTTTTTAGCTTGTTTTAAGAAGCGAGGGCAAATCCTCTTCTATTTTTTACGTAACGCTCGGTTCGTTTATCTTAAATACCATAGAAACAATACTAGATGTGGGCAGTTATTATTGCCTATATAATAAGTGTGATGCGTGCTAGCCAATTCCAACTATACTTATTCTTTATACATATGTATACTTAAGTCTGTAGCTAAAGAAGTCTCTAGACAAGGTTTCTTTCATGAAGGCAGCTTTCAGGCTGAAAAAATTGCTTTGCGTCAGCTTTGCGTCACTTCGCGGCTCAAATTAATCATTAATCATTAATATTCGGTTAATTAACCTGATTTTTCACACCTGCGAACTAAAGTTCGATTCGAAACTAACTTTCAAACTAATTTTCAATTAAACTATGCAATTTATATTTTTTTGTTGACATTCATAATCTTAACATTTTATTTATTTTATAAATTTAAAACTCTTTCAATAATACATTTAAAAGAAAATTTTAATTTGTTATCAACTCGATTTTGAATATTGCATTTAAGTTCAGCTGTTCTTACATACATCTAAATAGTTCGAAATTATCGTTTAAAAGTCTATCAATAATAATTTTAAAAATATAAATAATATTTTGTAATCAATCTTTTTTTGAAGAATTTTCCGTTCAGGTTCAGCTGTTCTTGCATAAGTCAAATTCGGTTCGACTTAAAATTGTATATAATATCTTTTATAAATTAGAGAATTCATTTCAAAACAATAGTTGGAGCAATTAAAAAATTTAAAGGACTGTCAGTCATAAAGTTAAACAGAAAAATAAAATTTTGTAATTAAACCTTTTTCCAACAATGTTCATTTCGAGTCAGGCTTAGGTTCAACTGTTCTTTCATACATTCGATTTTACTTAAGATTCGTGTTTAACATTTATTTGAAATTGGAAAACTTTTCATAAACTATCGTTAAAAAGTCTTTCAAAATTAAAATTATAAGAAATTTAAATTCCTTTAATCAAACATGTTTAGAATAATTATTTTTAGGAATTAGAAAAAAAATGTATTTAATAAATTAAATCTTCCAAAAATTAATTTAAAAGAAAAAAATATTTTACATCAAACCTTTTTTCATCTTCGCTTAAACTTGTTTGATATATTTAAGGAATTCAAGTTTTTTTCTGAAATTATCGTTTAAAAAGTCCTTCAATAAAACATATTAAAAAAATAAATAAAATATTAAAGTCAATCTTTATTGAACAATCTGCATTTCGCCTTAGGTTCAGCTGCTCTTACATAAATCTAATTCGTTTTAACTCAAAATTATAGTATAGGCTGCAATTGTAGGAACTTTCTCGGGCACTTAATATGTCTCTAAGGTCGAGTCTAATAATGTTCGCTAAGGAACATTACAGTTAGCAACAAAGTGCCACATAATATGCAATTAATTTGTGATGCAGAACACACACACATACACAGGGAGAAATGCAACTCGAGCTATGTTCAATGCATAAGAACAATGCACTTGGGTTTGGGCTAATGAAAGCCACAGAGCTGGCTGCTGGCAGGGCTTGGCCATGCAAAGTGCAACTGCAACAGCAACAGCAAGAGCATGAAGATAGATGGCATAGATATGCCGAGCGTTGCTAATAATACGCATTTCGCTTTAACGGGACATTGGGGGCAAATCTGGCATGCAACTTTTGTATGTTGCAGCAAGCAAGTTGCTGCTGCTGCTGCGGCTGCTGCTGATTGCGGCTGTTGCTGTCGTCGCTGTGGAAAGGACAACGACAACATTGCTGCCACTGACTGCGACTGGCTGCTACTTGGGCCCTGCTCTCAAAATAAATTGCAATTTTATCGCGTATAAT